TGTAAAAAAACAAAAATTAAAAATATTATTTTTATTTTATTATAATATTTATATAAAAATATATAAATAATTTTATATAGAAATTTAAAAAACCTTTACAGATAAAATTTCCCCAACCAAACACTACTAGGGCGAGCCTTGAGTATAGGCCTTCCCATAACGCATGACAGTTGAGAGCACGTGCACCCGAACCATAAAGCAACTTTAATTCCTAATCCTACTTAAAAAAATCAACCAAAACCAACCTAAAATATTTAATTAATTGCCACCTCAAAAAGTTTCACAAATTTCCCCCTTTTAATCCCATGATTTTCTCCTTAGTAATTACTCTTTCTAAGGACTAAGGAATCCCAAAACCGTTGCTTTATCTCACAACAAAGCCAAAAACCGCAGAAACAAAACGGAGGAGCTCCGACACAGCCGCTCTGCCCAAACAAAAGTTTGCTCCCACATCCAATCATACCATTATAAATCCGAGAAAACTCAACCAGCCTTGATTTTTACAAATTTTAATCTTTCTGGGATTCTTTTAAGTTTTCCAAAGAACCATTTTTTCTCTTCAAGTTCTCTTGCCTTTTCACCTCTCTATTCCGGACACCTTGCTACTCCTGCCATTCTTCAATGGCTTCCCTTCTTTGGCTTCTCTGCTAACGTCTCCTCCATCCATCCCCTTTCCCAGGTAAGCATTTCTGGTTTTCTGTTTGTTTGGAAGTAATCCTGGAGATCTGGGTTTGATTGAAATTTTTGTTCTTGGGTAGGATTAGGAAAAACTCAGAAATGGAGGATTCATTGTGTTTGTCAGCTTTTTAGTTTTGAGATGATCTCGAGCTTTATTTAATATATTTATTGCAATGTAAAGGCAATTGGGTTTGGTTTCAGTTTTGAAGATCTGGTGTGTCCAAATTTGGGTGAAAGCAAAGATGATGTTACTGCTTGTTTTATTGGTTCTTATGATGTGGGTTTTTTGGACAGACATAATTGTTGATCTCATTACTTACCCAATTTCCCAAATTTTTACTATGGAATTTACAATGAATTCTTATTATACCCATGTGGCCTTAATGAGTGAATGCATGTTTTGGATAAGGGAATCACAAATATACCCTAAGATTGTAAAGATTTTATTGTATTTTTCATTGTTGGTATGCTGATTATTTTGTATGCCAGACAAGGAAATGAATATTTGCTTTGTTTGGTAATCTCTTTAATGTAAAAGATTCAAAATTGGTAATTTGCTCTAATTGTGCACATGAGGGCCTCATCAATATGCTTTGCATGTGGTGGAAGAAGATCTGATGGGACTATAAATTCAATCTTGGGGTTCCTTCTCTCTATTGCAGTGAAAATTTAACCATGGATGAGAATGGTAATGTGAAGCTGTCTGGAATCCGGCAGATTGTGAGGCTGAAGGAAATCCTTCAGAAGTGGCAAACTGTCACCCTAGGTCCGAAACCAGACGTCCCCCAGACAAACTGTCCTCGTGGGAGCATCTCACCGGTTATTAACAAAAGGCTGGCCAATGTTATGAACTGTGATTCCGATGAGGATGGCTGTCACAGTCCGGAACCACCACCTGATGTGCCCAAAGGGTATTTGGCTGTTTATGTTGGGCCAGAGCTTCGGAGGTTTATCATTCCTACAAGCTATCTTGGCCACTATCTCTTCAAGCGTTTGCTGGAAAAGGCTGAGGAAGAGTTCGGGTTTGATAACACAGGTGCACTCACAATCCCTTGTGAGATTGAGACCTTTAAGTATCTCCTGAAGTGCATGGAGAACCAACAGAAGGACCACCCTGCTGGCAGCCCTGTTTCTGAAGAGGTCCATGGTTGATTTATGTTGCAACTAGCAGATGCCTACCATATACACACATTTTGATCTTTTAGCTAGTCAAACCATTTTTCTCTTATTTTATTATTATTATTTTTTTTTTTGGTGATTTTGCAGCTGAAGATTCGTTAACCATTGCGGAGTAGGTAAACAATACTGGTGAAGATAATCTAGGGCTGATCTGGTGAAGCAAGATCTCCTTACCATGCAGATATTTTCCATTTCTTTACCCCCTTCCCCCCACTTTGTTAATTGACAAGTAATAGGAAAATTTTAGTTAGAAAAATTTCAAGATGTATTGGCATTAGTAGAAAGTAATTGTGCAAGCTTCCCTGTTGTTACTGGAACATGTCCTACATCTGATTTCTGATTGAATAGATAACAAGTTTACATTTTCAGAAAACCTATGATGCTCGAAATAAGTTTGACCGATTCATCTACTGACCTAGGGCCTTTGGCACAATTGTTGCCTATATGCCCTTCAAGGGTTCTGAGTGGCTCTTGTCTCCGACTTTCCTAACACCTTCTCTATTCTGTGCACATGCTGTTGTGTGAATTTGATTGTCCATATCTTCTGTGTGTGTTTTATCCTGGATTTAGGCAGGCAGGGGTGATTTCGTAGTACTTATTAATAAATTCATGTGACCTTTTGATGGCGTTGTGGGTTCTAATTCAATTTCATATATGAGTTGTCTCAATTTTACTTAGGGGATAACATTATTTTTTTTGGGTTGAAGCCCAAAAGATCACTGAACAATTTGATTATATCTCTCGTCTCTAACTGGCACATGATTCTTGAAGTTCACCATCCTCTAGCAATTGACAGGATCTGAATATCTTTATTGGCCAATTGCCACTTACTAGGATGTGGTTTATACCTTTACATCTCCTAAAAAACCCTTGATGGACATGCAACTTTGAATGTATCTGTTTACACCATAAATTGCAAAAATTTCGGATCATGTCATGTGTCAAAAATTTTTAAATGGATGGAGAAAATTAAGTCATGTTAGATTTGTGATTCTGGGTCTCATGACAGATTAGCTGTCATTTTGGCAGAAAATGGGAGATAAAGATGAGATTTTACTATGTAATTATCTCTTTAAGGCAAAAAGGGACTGTTTGAGCTAAAATATAGGAGATGATTGCAGTTAAAGAAGGGTTTTATCTTATAAGGACATAGGTGACGAAAATCTGGAAGGAGATCAAACTAAGTCAATAGGTGAGCTGTCCTACTACCTCAAAGAAACCACCCACAACTTTGTAACTGCAGAAAGTGGGGGGTTACTGTCGACCAAAGGAGAACAAAAAGGAAATTTTGGAAGAGAGAACACATGGCTAGCTCTACTCAAACTTTTTGGCAAAATTTTCATACTTTTATTTTCTTTGCAAATGCTTTCAGATTTCGGATTTCAGCACAGATTCCAGTAGATCTAGGTTGTTTTTCATCATTCCAGTAGGCAAATTAATTCATGTATTCAGTTCAGCAATTTCCTTACATGCAATGAACTTCAATCTTTCAAGTTTATGCAAGGTATTGTTCTCTTTTTATTTGCAATTAATTTGATGTTTATGGTAAGTAGCGTTTTATTCAATGATTACTTATGTGGTGTTCACACTTCTTTTCAACTTCAAGCATGTTAGTTTAATTACTGTTCATGTTAATTTTAATGATTAGGGTAAAATCTTTAATTCTGCAGCATTTTAACTTCCAGATTTGCCAGTAGATAGTATTTTAATTTAACAATGAACATGTTTAATTTAGTTTGGGCACATTTTACTCTCAAAATTTTATTTTAAATTGCAAGTTATTTAGTTCAATTAGGATTTGTTAATTTTAAGTCACGGTAGTGTTTAAGTCCTTGGAGTTGTCCAAGGCAGATTTCGTAACCCATTGTGCAGGAAGGTATCCCTCCTTCTTGCAAATCGTCTGTAGGCGCAGATTTGAATTTTAATCGAATGTTCTTCCCATCATCTGCAAGGAGGTTGACCGTGAGGAAAGAGAGGGTCGTTGGGAAAGTCCTCATTTCTTACTTTCAACAAAGTAAGTGGTACACTTGCATCCAAATTTCACATGTGCGAGGCCACTAGAGGATTTTTGGGGAAACAGTATCTTATAAGGGATTTTAGAGGGGTGTTTCCTTCAAAATATTCCTCTTGGCTGCTCATGGTAGAAGTTGCTCAAGCATACCACTTGCTTTGCTCAAAATAAGAAAGAAGGATTTCTAGCGATCCTCACTTCTTCCAAGTGTAGGAATTTGTTTAAAAGTCAATGGGAGACATTTGATTGAAAGATTGTGCCAATAATACCTTAACCAGATGATTGTAGTAGAAATTGGAATGCATTTATATATAAAGGTTCATAAATAATTGCCCTGAAAAAACATTAGAGACTTTCCATATCTAAGGCCACAACGAAATTAGTTTGTTAAGTAAAATAAGCAGAAATAAGAAAAGAAGAGAATGAGTCCATTGCAAAAGTAAAGGATGATCTAAGGCTAAAATAATAGAAGGATGTAAAAATAAAGAACATGACAGAAATATTAAAACGCAGCTAAAATTTAGAATTTAAGAGTACTGGTGGAAATGTAAATTGAAACAGGTAAAAATGTAAAGAACTAGTTACTGACAAAAATGAAATGAAACTAAGATGCTTACTTGAAATCTTAAGAAAAATTACAACTAGAGGTTGAAATATAAATTCACTAATAAAGCAAAATCTAAAGCTACACAACTAGATAGAAATGTAAATTATTGATAGAAATGCGAAGTGTGCTAGCGAAGAAGACCATCTATATTAAATCTAACTGTTAGAGTTAACAAAAACAAAGAACCCATTGAGGGAGTTTCAACCTCTTCTACACTAGTAAGAAAGTTCTTCTAAACTAGCAAGAAAGTTACAAAGTTGCTGTATGAGCTATCTATGAACAAAACTAGTGCCAAGGTAAGACATGTTAAAGTGTAGATGTTATTGAGAGGGGCAAGCATCTTGAAAAATGTGTTGAAGTGTTGTATTTATGGGCCTTCATAATTGAAATTAATTGCCATAAATTAGATTTGATCCTAGTTTTATTTAACTCCCCTATTATCGTGCTTGACCAAATCAAAGAAATCTCTATACCTTTGAATCCTTCCTTGCAAAATGGATTTCTGCCATGTGTCATTTAGTTATCAGAAACATAATCCTAGTTGTCAAAAACCTCTAAAATTAGGCTTGTTGCAACCATTGCTAATTTTCTCAACTAAGCTAAATAATTCTACACCATATCAACAAACTTCTTGATTTTGTGGAGTCTCGCCTTCTTCCTTTCGTTTCTACCACATGGTAGAAATTCATTGCATCAGAATATCTCCTTGTTATGGACTGCATCATACCAAATTGTGGTTATTGATCATCTTTTAAATTCTCAATTATATAAAAAAATTGTAGCCATTAGATCTCCATTGAGGACATGGGCATCATCAAGAAAATTGTTGAATGTGGTGTAAACAAGGGGATTAACCAAAATATATGGAAGATAACTAACATGGAAGAGATCATTAATGTTTTAGTGTAATGTTAGAGGTTTCAGTTAAAACTGGCAATAAATTGAAGAGAAGGTAGGGGTATAGAAAGAAAATTTTATTAACACTATCTTTTTATTTGGGTAAAGTTTTTCACCGTTATATTTTAAGAAAATGATTTAGAGGTAATTTTTTATACAATTTATTATTTAAATAATTGGTTTTTTATTCATTTGGGATATGTGATATTAAGTGCATCAACTTATGTAATGATATATGAAAGTTGTATAAAAAGATTGTATAAAAAAATTGTCTTTATTTTACTACCATATATCTTATAAATAAGTTTAAGGGTATGTTTTGGATATGAGAATAGCATTGTAGTCCCTATGCCCAAAAATATGTAATGATCACTATTAAGCTCTATTTCAAAAATTATATAGTTTTAGTAAATATACTCTTCAATCCCTACCCTACCTTAAAACTTATAGGGGAATTAAATCCCTTTTAATGAAACAATGTAGTTTAGCATTGTGACAACAAATTTTTTTCAGTTACAATTGACAAACACTTTTTGCTTTTGATATTCTCTAACAATAAAAAAACTATTATACTCTTTGACAACAAAATTTAAATCGTTAGATGGGGGCTGGCCCTAGATATTGAGGGCTACCACCCTATCTCATAATTTTTATTTTGTAATCTAATATAGTTTAGATTAAAAAGTGATTTTATTTACTAACAACCTTTTAACCTAAAAACTTTTCTCTTAGCAGCGGGGAGGTTTTTTCTCAAGAAAGTACAAATGAAAACTTCATATCAAACATGAAAATTGAACAATTTCAAAAAACTTATAAAGTTCTCATCTTTTTTATCCAAAGTCCATCAAGGTTGGTTAAGTTGGTTGGTAAGATTCGGACAATTCTATGATCAATTGTCAGTTTTCAGGGTTAAATTCTGCGGTTTGCAACTCCTTGTGAATATGCTATCTATAAATTCTACTATAGTGGTTGGTTCGGGCTGATTCTGAGGTGATATCAGCTTTTCAATTAACTAACAACTATAGTTCTCAACTGCTCCTAATAGCCAAACCAAACAGAATTATAACTGGCCTTGGATTGGCTAACCTCCACTTATGTATGGTAAGCAAGTAAGCACTTTCCCCCTACATCTGAACATTTCTTCAAGCTTTCACTAAGCTGAACATGAAAGTTTTTGATCTTCTTGCACCCTCTCTGTTGTCAAGGCTGAGTCTGTTCCCTTATTTGTGCAAAACTGAAAAGAAGATGAAGGCATGCAGTTTGGCCGGATCTCAATTAATAATCACCATTGAAATACATTTTATCTCCTTTATTTTTCTTTTCAAAAATGTTTTTAGTGCAGTTTGGACTATACAACTCAGACTATTATATGGAAGTGAGTCCCTTGATAATGATAGCCATTTGTTCATCTAATAATTTATATTTTACAGTTTAATATAATTTGAAGTTTTCTTATTTTCCATGAAGTCATCCATTTATCTTGTGTATTAGTCACAATTATTTCAATAAAATTGCACGTATTATCAGACTTCTACTCTCATTTTCAAGCAGAAACAGAAGACCCTGTTTCACAGCAAACTGAAAACACACAAATCAAAAATGACCTTGAGAATTAGATTCTCAAGGTAAAGAATGATACAAATTGTGAGATTTTTACTGTTTAGATTTTCTTACAAGCAATGAGATTATACATCTAATTACATTCATCACGCTGGTCACCTTTGTCTTCGGCCAAGGAATCAGAATTTGGGAGGTGGAAGAAGCCAGTTGCTTCCATGGATGTAAGTCATGCTCATGAAAAGCTTAGCTTCTTCATCGCTCAGAATTCTCGCAAACTTGACCCGAGCAGAGGAAACAGAGCCTGGACCGCTGCACTTGTACTCTCCATAATACACAGTCCGATCACGATCAGGGTGTCTGTCATTGGACCACCCTTCGCCGTTGATGATGGTGCCCATGTAGGTGCGAGCGAAAACCACCCTGGGTCTTTCCTTCCACGCCCTACCGAGGTAGGTGGTGTTGTTTCCAATGCCGGTGATGTTGCAGAAAACGAAGGTAAATCCACTGTCATCGTTTACTTTTTCCCTCGCCTGCGCCGTGATCGCCCCGAATTTCTTTGCAACTGAATACATCGTCGTGTTCTGAAAGCAGAAACAAGAACAGATTCAAGAAACAGGGAGGAATCATGGGATTGCTTCTAAGTTTTTCTGTATTGGGATTACCAGATAAAGGGATTTTCCGTTTCCGAAGATGAAATCGACCGTCCCCTGAATGTAGCAGTCCTGGAAGAAATGCCTGCCCTTGTCATCGCACAGAGTATCCTGATACCCGATGAACCTGCAGTTATAAAACGCCGCTTTGTCACCAGAGATTCTCATCGCCACTGCTTGCGCACCACATCTCCTACCGTCTGGTATCGGAGCCGAATTCTAAACACCATTTTTTAAAAGAAAAGGAAAGAATTAGCTTGAAAGATAATTTTTTCAACGCATGGTATATGAGAGAGAAACACAGCAACATACCACAAAGGCAACATTTACGGCCACGAAATAATCACTCTCCACTGCCACGGTGGCGCTATTCACGGTGCCGTAATCCGCCGCCGTCCCGTTATACACGATTCTTGGCATGTTATATGGGTCTCCGTAGAACGTCACGAACTTCTTGGTTCTATCAATGGTGATTTTCTCCCAGAACTCACCACCACCAATCCAGATGACGACTCTTCTCGCGTTCCCGGATGGAATACTATTGACGGCGTCGGTCACCGTCTTAAAGTCTGCACTGCCGTCTTTCTTTACCTTGATCATCTTTTCCCCACCTTCTTCAGCGGCCACCAGGAGTTGGTCCAAGTTCCCCCTACTCAAGTTGGATTCTTTCATGTTCAGCGCTATCCATGATCGGAGTGTGGATGCAACCGACGGGGACGAGGAGGAACTGGAATTGGTACTCAGCGGTGAGTCCTTATTATGGGAATTTACCCCCGGAATCAGCCGAAGAAAGAGCAACACCATTGAGATTGTTGCAAAAACAGAGAAATGTCTCAGTTCTTGAGCCATTCTTGACTCTGACCGTCAAAAAGAGTATGCATGACGGAGGTGAAAGATTGGGTATTTATGGAGATGGGTTCTTGAATTTGTTACTCTTGAGAAGGAAAAATGCGACGGTTCCTTTGTTGGGAGGCCGTGGATTCCTAATGGCGGCTCCGTTCGCTGGTCAGTAACCGTTAACGGTGGATGCCATGTTTACCGTCGCGGACGGTTGAAGTCTTGCACAAAGAGCATTATTTTGAGAAGTTGGATTTGGGCCAAGACCAGTGTTGACCATTTGACCCAATATTCGGCTCACGTTTCTTAAATTATAGGTTTAATACCCAATTTGGTCCTTAAACTTTCATTTCAGAACTTAATTCATCCTTTAACTATAGAAAGCACCCAAGTCGTCCTTAAACTTTATTTTTCTGTAACCCAAATAGTCATTCCATTGTAAAATTGCGTAGTTGATAAGTTAAGTCTCCACCAATTACCTATTTTAATTTTTACAAGCTTACGTGTAGAAAAACACCACATTCAATTGATGATGTGGCACCATTTCCATTCCACCTCAGATTTCTGCTTCTCCCATCTTTTGAATAAACTAGCAGGGAACTGCAAACATAGAAAAAAGAAGGGGAAACTTCTCAACTTTGCAAGAACAAAACCCTAAAAAGTTTTGCAATTTTCAATTGGATTTATCTACTTTTTACAATTAGACTAGATTGTATACATGGATCCGTCCTCCGAAAGTGGAGAAAAGAACCATGAGGGATTAGAAATCAGTGGATTTATTGAGTATTTATTACTAGTAAAAAATTGGAAGAAAAAAATCCAAGTAATAAAGGAAATACAATAAAAAATTTTAAATATTTAAGCAGAATACAACAAAAATGAGACCAAGGTGAACTCTCGATCTCGTTTTGAAGCAAGTTCTATAGCCAACGGACAAAGACAAGAAATGTAAACAGAGATTACAGAGATATGAAGCCTTCTTTTACAAGCAAACCAAAGATGATGACGAGAAGGCCAATGGTAACACATTGAGTCGGAGAGACGAAAGGCTGCAAGGAAGCTGACAAAGTGATGCCGGCGCCAACCAACCCAATTAACAAAGCACTCACATGCTGATTCATTTCTCTCCCTTCAATTGCACATTTTCTTGCAACAATTTTCCATTTTCCTCCATCAATCTTCCATTTTCCAACACAAGCTCATCTTTTTCTTGCATCAAGATTTAGGGTTCGAAGAAGGAGAAGGAATCAAGAGTTGTAGAGGATTTAGGGGTCAAAGAAGGAATCAAAGGTTGGTAGAAGAAAAATCGAGAGTTGTAGAGGATTTAGGGGATTTAGGAAAAGGAATCAAGTTTGATGTGCAAGCATCATGACCGATTGCTTTCTCGTTCTGGAAACTGAGCAATCAAAAATATGGAAGCAAATGCCAGCATGGTTGTCAGCTCTTACTAGAGGATTTAGGGGTTTCGAAGAAAAGGGATTTAGGGCTTTCAAAGGAGAAGGATTTAGGGGTTAAAGGTGAGTCAAGTCTTACCACAGAATGCTCTTACTAGAGGTTACGGGTTTCGAAGAAGAAGGATTTAGGGGTTAAAGGGGAGCTAGCTTTTTACCAAAGGATTTAGGGGTTTCAAAGAAGAAGAATTTAGGGGTTAAAGGGGAAAAGGCTGTTTTATTTTATTTAGAAGGCTGGAGAGGCAAGAATTTGACTAGAATGAAAATGGTGCCAAATCATCAATTGAGTGTAGTGTTTTTTTTTACACGTAAGCTTGTAAAAATTAAAAGAGATAATTGGTGGAGACTTAACCTGTCAGCTATGCAATTCTGTGACGAAAGAACCATTTGGGTAACTGAAAAATAAAGTTTAAGGATGACTTGGGTGCTTTTTGTAGTTAAAGGATGAATTAAGTTTTGAAATGAGAGTTTAGGGACTAAATTGGGTATTAAACCTAAATTATAATGTTTTTCTTTTCATAAATTTTAAATTTTATTGAAAGGGAAAATTTTGTGCGTGTTTTTTTTTTTTTTTGGGGGAGGGGGGCGGCATTTACGAAATTTTAAAGTAGTTTGAATTATTTAAAAAATAAGCTTCACCTAAAATTTGAATCCCAGCCTTCACTTATAAAACAATAATTAGACTTTGTGTAATATGGTTATAGTTTTAGGATTTTGATTTTGATTTTGATTTTTATAAATTTTTTAACCACTATAAATCAAAAGTAAAAATTTGTTTGCAACAAAATTAAATATGGTCAACTAAAAATATTTACTACTTGTTAATAGTATTAAAATTATTTTGTTCTTATTTCTTTAATAATTATATGAAAATATTATAATTGTATTATCATGTCCCACTGTAAAATAGATATTTATCAAGGTAAATTTATTACTGTGATTACATGCGTGTGATCTTAACTTTCCGCCCATGTGGCTCATGTTGATGTATGATACACTAGACAAAACATATATTAATTATTTTGTGTGTATTTTTTGACATCAACCACATAGGTGAAAAGTAACATTACCGATGAAATATACGTTGAAAAAATTTGCCGCATCATTAGTAATTTCCCAAATAAACCATGTAGGTAAAAGTGCAAAACATGGGTTTTCTTGCGAAGTTCTTTTGAAGGGTTAACTAGTATAAAAATATTTGAGGTTTTAAATTCCACCGATTTGCATCATCCAACAATGTACATTATGTTGGTAAAAAGTGCACTAAGAATTGGCAGCAAAATATATTTGAATTTTTTGGCTCCCTCCAATTTTGCATCATTCATTAACATGATCTATGTGGGTGAAAGGCAATACCTTTCACCCACAGGCATCACATTGGTATACCTTTCACCCACAGGCATCACGTTGGTGAAAGGTTCTATATACATAACCTAGCTCATTTCCTTCTTTCTTTTTCTTCTTTCTCCTCCTCTTCCTTTTTCCCTTCCCTTCTTCTAGTTCCCCAACTTGGTTAGATTTCTTCAATTTTGGTTTGTCATTAATGTTTATGAGTAGTATGTAATTGAATAATTAAAACTTATTAGTACCTCAATTTTCTAAATGTTTTCACTTTTATTTCCTTTTTTTTAATGAAAATAATGTAATTTAAGTT